GCTCTACGGTCCCTTCGCGGCTTCTCTGTTCTTAGGCTGCTTTGTTGTTGTCACAGAGTGTGGGGGGACACAAGGCCCTGCACCCCCGGCTTCCTGCGATTCACCATGACTCGCAGCCAGCCAGTAAAGCCGAAGGTTTATTTAGACGACAGGAATACAGTCCAAGACAGGTCTTGCAGGCACAGACAACAGGACCCCCCTCAGTTGGGTCCATCTTGGGGTCCCCGGGCATCCCAGCCCCCTTGCGAGGTCAGAGCCTCGTCTGCCTCCCAGCCATCACCCCAGCCAGCTCCTGAAACTCTGTCTTCAGCGACCCCTCCCACCGCCCTTGTTCAGTTTCCTGGGCAAAGGTGTCACCTGGCCTCTAACCCCTTCCTGGGTTCTCATGTTACATGCTCAGGTATTCTCCGTTGGTCAGTCTCCCATCCCCCAATGCAGACCATCCTAGCCAAACTCCCCTCTCAGCATTCAAAGCCCACAGTAAGAACAGTCCCAGTTCGTCACAGTTGTATCTTGAGCCATCCCCTTGCGCCGTCTCTGTTTGCTGCTCTGAGTTCCAGCTCAGATACCTGCAGCTATTTCTCCAGGCGATGGGTCGGCTTCTCAATCGAACAACTGTCCCTCCGCTGCTTTATCTAGAGTCCCTTTGCTCTCGGACAACTTCTCCCTTCCTCTCGCTGCCCCTGAAAGTGCTGGGTGGACGTTTGATCTGCACTATTTGCTTTACTTTCGCTACAGCTCACTTCCTCCTCATTTCTTCAGCCCGTTTCTCTTTGCTCACAGCTGGTTTCTGTCACATTTCATTCGTGCTTTTCTTCTCTTGTGGTTTTCTAACAATTGCTTTGTAACTTAGAGACTCTTTTTCCTTCCTGTTTCACTGCCTGGTTCTTCCTTTAACTTTCCCCCTCATGCCTCTGTCTTTCCTCTGTCTGCTTCTTCCTGTTCCTGTCATCTCTGTCCCTTCTCAACGGGACTTTCTCCCTGCCAGCTCTGTGCCTGGCCCCTTCGATGACACAGCTCAGCCACCGGGTCCCTTTTCACTGTCTCCCGCTCGCTGGGTCCCTGCATTTCTGATGCTGGTTGTTACCTCGCTGGCTGCTGGTGTCTCTCTCCCGGTGCTGGACACCCTCCCTCCAAACTCTACCAGCCATTTCCACCAGGAGCACTGGGGGAGGAGCTGCTGGCTGCTGTCCCCGGCTGTTTTCTTTCTCTCCCCACCACAAAGAAAACCCGCCCCAGGCTCGAGCTCCCCTCACTGCCGCTGCCCAGGAATCCTTGGGGGTCTCCCCACAGCTGTTGTTTCCAGGCTGCTTCTGAGCAGCCAACGCCAACGTGTGCAGCTCCCACTGCTCTTTAACCCGACAGCCCCCAGCCCCTGTGGGCATCACACAGCCAGCCCTGGAATGCAGGCACAGGCTGGGGGCGGGGCTGGCTGGGCAGCCCCTGGGCCCCGACTCCTCTCTGCATCCCCAGAGTAGGGAAGGCCGGGGCAGCATCCCCCTGGGGGCAGGGATCCCCTCCCCTTCAGCATCGAACCTCCAGCAGCTGCTGCTGCCCCCTTGCTCTGGACCCCACCAGTGATTCTGTCCCTGCCCCCTACCCGGGCGTCCCCTCTGCTGGGCCCAGGGCTCAGGGCAGAGCCTGGCTCTGAGCGCCCCATTGGCACAGAGACCCCCGATCAGTGATGTGCACAGGAATAAAAATGTGGCCGCTTTTGAAAGGGCACTTTCTGTGCCCCCCACAGCCAGAGGAGCTGGCTCTGCTTCCCGGAGGAGTTCTCTGCTCCGGACCCACTAATTCAGGGGGGCCCTGCACCTGCTTGCCCCCCAGGAACATGCCCTTGCCCCTGAGGGTCTGGCTGGGTGTGGGGCGGGGAGCGAGGACACTGAGCCGGGCCCCTCACCTGCTACCACCAGCTCTACGGAATCACTGGGACGCGACCAGATGAACAGGTACCATTTGTCGTGATAATAGCAGCTGTAGCTCCCGGCGTCTCTCCAGCTCACGTTGCGAATGGGAAACTCAGCCAGGTCCCCAGCCGGCTCCACGTCCTGCAGCACGTTCGGGTTTCCATCTTTGTACAGAAGGAACCTCATGTTCTGGTGCCGACCCCGACACTGGACAGTCACAGTTCCCCCCAGGGCGACCCTGCCGCTGGGGTGCAGGGAGATGGAGGGCTTGGGGTAGCTGGGCTCTGCAATGAGAAGGAGACAGGTCATGAGAACGACCCTGTCACAGTCACTGCGCCCCGTCCTCGCCGCACGGTCCCAGAGACGGGGCCCTGGGAGAAAACCCAGCCAGAGGAATCTCTCCGAGATCCCAGAGATTCCTGGGAACTACACCAGAAACTGCCTAATATCTAGAGCACCCCCCCGCCCCGCACCCGTCTATCTATTTAATGGGGCCTCACAGCCTGGGAGCCAGGACTCCTGGGTTCTATCGCTGGCTCTGGGAGGGGAGTGGGGTCTAGTGGTTAGATCGGGAGAGGGCTGGGAGTCAGAGGTCCTGGGTGTTGAACAAACATGCTGAGTAAAAACCCCCGCCCTAAAGCGAAGCCCTGAGGATCTAACCAGACACAAGGTGCAGGAGGGATGATTATCCCCCATTCGTACAAGGGGAAATGGAGGCACACGCAGGTAAAGTGACACCCCAAGGAGTGTCCCATCTGCCCAGAGACCACCACGATGGTCCGGCTGGGTGTGGGGCTGGGAGCAGGGATGCCAAGCCGGGCCCCTCACCTACTACAATGATCCGCACAATGTCACTGGGATACGACCAGTTGGGCAACTCTGATCTGGAGCGAGATCGGCACATGTAGACCCCTCCGTCTTCCCGTCTGGCGCTGGGGATGGTGAATTCACCCCCGTCCCCAGCAGCATCCAGCTCCCAGATTTCGATTCCACCTTTAAACAGAAATAACCTCCTGGCCCCGCACCGACACTGACAGCGGATGGTGACGGCTCCCCCCAGGGCGATCACTCCGCTGGGGCGGACGGAGATGGAGGGTCCGGGTGCAGGTAGCGCTGTGTTCACACACAAACAGGAGTGAGATGGGGAGACACAAACCCTTCCCCGTGTGTCTGTCACCTGCCCTTAGCGCCCAGCCCCAAGGACAGCGCCAGGGGTAACAAACACCTCACTGCATCCACAGGGAACCTGTGGGCTGGATTCTGATCTCAGCCCCCCAGGGTCAATCCGGAGTCACCCCCTGACTGCACTGGGGGCCGGGCTGGGCTCTGATCTCAGCCCATCAGTAGAGTGGGGTGATCATATTTCCCTCTGCTGAATATGGGACACCTGGTAAAATTACTCGTATTCAAGCATGTTCAACGGCAATCAATCAGAACTGTGCAGTACAAAGACTCAAATTAACACCAAGTTGACTGAGCCCCTGTTAAAAAGAAATCCTGCGTAGCTGTATTCTTTTTATTTACCTTCTTTTCTGTGAGGCTTTAGGGTTCACATGGGGAGGGGTGACACACACACCCCTATCCCCCCCCTCCCCGGGGAGAAGTTTTACTTACACACACACACACACACACACACACACACACACACACCGTACCCTCTCTCACG